AACAGCTTTGGAAAAGAGCTTTGTCTCTCTGCTGGCTCCTATTTAGCCTCTGGCTGTCAGCTCACCTTGTCACACCGCAGCGGGAGGAGGGCAGAGGAGGGAGGGAGGCGCAGTGCACACCCACACCCCATCCACTTGTCCTGCCGTCACCAATGGCTGTCATTTACCCCAGCATGTGGCCGGCCCAGAGAGGGCTGTGCTCTCGGAGGCTGGATTTCTCAGAAGGCCATCCGGTGCGCCTTCCACAGGGGGCTTGCCACTCCTGGCTGTGCTGGACAGTGAGCTACTGCAGCCTGTTAGCCTTAGCAGCAGGTGCAGGGATCCTGGGCTGCTCCTCCCTGCAGAGCGAAGCCAGGTCATATTGACTGGCTGAAATGAACGAGGTATCCGGCCTTGTCACATCACAGAAGATGCGTCTCTCACCCAAGGTTTTTTTTTTTCCCCTCCTTTCTTTCTTCATTATGTTTGTAATTTTGTTTTATTATTTCCCATTGGAAAGCTGTGAAATGAAAATGATGCAATCGACTGCTGTGAAATAATGTCGTGCTCGAGTCCTTTTCCAATAAGCCCCGAGGTTTGCACTGTGACGGCTTCATTAAATTAGTCGGCTCCATGGCAAATGGAAAAGCGCTCGGAGCTTCGGATTTTGCTAATCTGAGTTGGGCTGCCTGAGACCTTAGACCACCAGGGAGCTCGGGAGGTTGGCTCTGCGTGCTGGGGAGAAGAGGCATTGGCATCGACCTCGTGCAACATCCCAGAGGTGCCATGTGTGCACAGCTGCTAGACGGCTCATGCAACCCTCAAACCTTCACCGTCTCCTCTGTGTGCCAGATGCTGCCCCAGGTGTTGTCACGCACCAAAGGAACGGATAGGTCAGGGCACTGTCTCTCTAGGGGCACAGTGGACAGCATGTGGAGTCGGGGAAGGGAGGGGTGCAGGTAAACTATGGACCACAGGTAAAAGGCGAGCCTGTCCTTGAAGGCCAGCCACAACTCAGAGTGCCAGATGCCAGTGAATATGCCTGAGATTCTTGCAGATGAAATGCAAGTGCTCCCGTCTACCCTCCCATCACCATCCCCCAGAGTTTATGAGAACAGATTCTCTGGTGCCGGGCTCTACTGCAGTATTAATGATCTCCATTACTGATAGTTCTTTCCAGTTAGCACTTGCAGTATTAAACTCCGTCATTATGAAGTAAAATATGCACGATCCCTAAATCTGTGTGTATTATAATGAGATTTCATTGTTATAAATTTGTCTTCTGGGTCCTTCATTTCTGCCTTTGCTGTCTTTTTAAGAGTCTAATGTCTGATCACTGTAGCCAGGAGGTAATTAGGAAGTGGTACTAAAGAATCACAGGCTTATTCTCTCACTCATTCACAGAAATTTATTGAATGTCTAAACTAAGATACAGCTAGTGGGAAAGACATTGGTGACAGCCAATTACAGCACTAAGGAATTTGGGTCTGACCTGACATGGAAGCCCCCTCCCCGACACACGTATAAGTATTGGATAAGATGCTATAAGACAATTTGAAATCACAGCTGCATTTGAAAGGAAGAAAGTGGGAAATTCCAGACTCCAAAAACAAGTGGGAATTCAAAGCCAGAGTGGTGAGTGAGAGCTGAAAGGGAATTGAGGTCAGAGATGTGGAATCAGGGCTGGGGTTTTAATCCCCAAGCAGAGGCAGAGATGAAGACCACAGCCTCACAGGTGGCTGGGGCCAGAAATGAGACCCGACATATAGCTGGGTGCTTAGAAGGGCTAGACAAGCCCCACCCACCAGCTGGGTGAGCGGTGATGGCATGGGAGCAGGACAACAATTTGGGTAGAGAAAAGATAATCTGTGAACGATCAAAATCCAAGCTTGTGCCAAGCATAGATGTGGGGTCCAAATTCACGTGACTTTCACAGTATGGAAACCACAATTGGAGAAATCAGTGGACAAGCTGGTTTGAAATCAATGGAACCCAACAGAGGCAAACTGAACCTTCCCCGAGGCATGCCTCCACAACCAGCACACCCTGGGTGCCCAGAGGAAACCCCCACTGAAGATGAGCTCACACAGAAAAATTACACAGCACATAAGGAAAGAAACTGACAAGAGAGCAAGTCTCAGATTCAACATGGCAACCGGCTTGGCACCTATGCTGACCCCAGAATTACCTAAAAACTCCCATTTCTGCCCATCCACTTAATACCATCATTCCTTCAACTCTAACCCAAACACTAGAGAGTGCCTGAAGCCCCTGCCTCTCTTCTTTCCAGTTCATAAATATAGATATGATGGATGTATAAATTCCTTTTCATTTAATTTGCATACCATACCATTAAGATACTTAGGAGCTCATACTGTTCACATCTGCTCACACTAGCCAAGTGTCATCCCGGGTGAGGGGGTTTCTGCCACACTCAGCCACTTCCTCACCTGGCAGTGTGGTGAGACTGCTCCAGGATGGTGACTCTCCAAGTTCATTTGGGGGTCTCAACCTTGTGAGCCCTTAAAATATGAAGAGTGCTGGTCCTTTTTGCTTTCATAGGCTGACATCATTTGACAACCGTTCACTTTCACCTCCAACTTACTGACCTACCAAGTGAATTCTCCCAGGTTCCTGAAATCTGGCATTCAAACTCAGTGATCAGAGTCGACTGAGCACTCTAATTCAGCATCTACCAAAAGACATGACTGCCAGGTGAAGCTTGGCCACACTCACTCTGCTGCGCAAAGGCAGGCCGCAGGCGTCCTAGACTGGAGCAGGTCACTGTCCTATCAGGGTACCATCAGCTTTGTCTCGAATTGGTGGAGGTTTGCAGCTGCTACTATTCTTGCTTTTAAATCACAAATTACTCTTGCTTTGGCTTCCTCACCATCAGCTTAGTGGATAGAGGGTGTTTGGATAACTACACAGTTGTAGGGATTCCTATTTGCAGCATCAGAGTTTTTAGCTTCTATTTTCCACTAAGGAGGACTTAAGACACATGCCCTGCAGCTCACGTCTGAACTGTCCGTATCTCCACTAGTAGACTGCCCTCCACATCCTTCACAGAGAGTCTTCATTATCCCCCCAAGGCCTTTCCCTGGTAAGAGGGATGTCAGTGGGATTGCTGAGCGTTGTCTCTTCTCCCACATCCAACGCAGCTGAGATAGAAAATGCTTTCCCCCCAGGGCATAGGCCTCCACTCCTGTGTCCCCCTTTCCTCGAGTGTTCAAGAGAGACATATGGCCGTCTACACTCTGTGACTTTATAGAGATAGCAAAATGTAAGTCAAGTCACTTTATCTTGGACAAGGAATAGCTTTTCCAATCATCCATTTAGGAAAACATTCATTGATGTACCTGGCCCAGTGCTGGGGATAAAGCAAGGCAAGAGACAGCTTTCCTGCTGCCAGGAACTCAGGGACACAGAGGGAGACAAGAGATGAGGACAGTACCAGCCCTGCTTTCAGTTATTTTAGTGTCGTGCCTGCTTCCTCTACTCAGGGGAAAGGGCACTGGTGAATCCATCTGTTGTTTCTTCTCTGCAAGGGCGGTTTAAACTCTGTGGACACAGAGCTTGAGGAGCCATCAGAACATCTTCTTCTATCGATGTTTTTTATCTATTGCTTGGCCGCTTCTCCTTTTCGGAGTGGGGAGTGAAACAGCCCCACAAAAGAGCCAAATCATAAGTAAAGAAGGCAAAAGGATTGCATAAACAAACACAACCACCCGAGGAGATTCTGGGCCTGTACGCATTCAGCCCTTACTTTCCACATCTGCAGTCAGCCACGGTAATGCATTTTATAATGATGAGCTTGAACAACGGCCCATCACTGAAGGCTCTCTGGATGAAGGGGAGCTGGACACCTGTTTAGGGTACAAGAGCTACTGTGGTGGACGGATTCTAAAATGGCTCCCAATGATCCCCACCTTCTGGCATCAGCTCTCTTGTGTAATCCTCTCCCCTTGAGCATGGACGGAGCCAGGGACCTGCTTCTATCAAATAGAATATGGTCAAAGTGATGGGGATAACTGGTGAGATTAGGTTATACAAGACTGTGACCTCCACCTTGCTGGCACTTGTGCCTTCCCAGCTTGCTTGCTTTGGGGAAGCAGTCTGCTACGCTGGAGAGGCCTATGTGGCAAGGGTCTGAGGGTGACTTCTGATCAACAGCCTGTGAGGAACCAAATCCTGCCAACAACCACTGAGTGAGCTTGGAACCATTCCTCCCGGGTTGAACCGTGAGATGACTGCAGCCCGTGCCAACACCTTGACTGTCGCCTTTTAAGCTACCCTGAAGCAGGGGACCCAGTGAAGCTGTGCCTGGATTCTTGACCCATAGATCACAAATGTGTGTTGCTTTAAGCTGCTAAGTTTGGGAGTAGTTTCTTACTCAGTAATAGATAACTAAGATTGTTACTAAACAGCAGATGGTGAACTAACCTTGGCAGAGAATAGACTGGCATGTTTTGGGAATTTAAACAATATGGACTGATTCTTCTCTTAAACCCTAGCTGATAAGAAAGGACAAACACAATACTCAGAGCACAGTGGGAATTTATTAGAGAAAATCCTGCGCTGACAGCCACAGACTATAAGGGCTCCCAGGGACATCAAGGGCAGTGATTCTAAGCAGCAAGGGGCGTCAGAATCAGCTGAGGAGCCTGGACCCAACCCTGGACCTACTGAAGCAGGGTCTCCACAGGTGGAACCTAGAGCCCTGAATAGATACCATTTGCCCCGATGAGATAGACTGTGCGTCCCGGGGTCAGGCCACTGATGTGCTCCTGCTCCCACACTTGATATAACAGGAAGCGAAGGGGCAGAGAAGTTATGTGCCTTTTTCAGGTCACACAGCCTGTTGGTGGCAGCTCAGGAGAAGAGCACAGGGCTGCCATCTCCTTGTCCTCTGCTTTGTCCACTCTGCCACAAGACCCCACCACCCCACATCCCCACTCAATGGAGAACCAGCCTAGCCCTGAGCTAACGAAAATAGAAATAAAGTAAGAGAGACACAGAGGAAACTTCTAAGGTTCCTTTATTGGTTTTGAAAACAACCTCCATTCTTCACCCCTCCATCTAGTCCTGGCCTAGAGAGAAGGAAGGCTTTTCTCTCTGGCCGCTTTGGTAAGAAAAAGAACAACATAAACACTTCCCATTAGAACTGTGTCTCTACATACCAAGCAGGGCTGGAACTTAATAGCATTGAGAACACGTGGGCTCTGTCTCTGAGCCCCACTTGGTTTGCCATCTTTTCCTCCATCCTCCCTGAGACAGCCGCTCCTGTGCTGGGGGGCTCTGCCTCCACCTCCCAGTCCAGGGCGTCTGCAGTAGTTGCGGGCTGCTCGCAGCCTGATTTCCAGTCTGCTTCAACAGGAGAAGCGCCACCCCCTGGCCCCCGCTGGTTCTGGCGTGGATCCTCAAGAGCTCACCATGTCCCAGTGCTGGCTCATAAGTGAGTTCTCACATGGGTTGACAACGACTTCCCTGCCATTCTCAGTGCCATCACCAAACATGTCCGTGTCTAGGCAGAGGTGGGACGCCACGTGCTCGATGCGGGAGCCAGCCATGGTCCATTGCTGAGAAGATGGAGAGGAGAGGGGATGAACCAGGATTCTCTGGCTAAGACCCCGGGTCCTATCAATAATATCAGGAGTTGCGGTGTAATCAGAAATGTTTATATCGTATGTCTAGGGTCACCCAGGGACTTGACTTCATGGTCTCATGGAGGAATAGAACTGCAACTAATTGCTTTGCTAGATATTATTGTTGTTTTTTTAAATAGGATAAAAAAAAGTAAAAGCAAAAATCAATATGTTTGCTATGAAAACTCATTAGAAGGCAATAACTTTCCAAGCAATAGGCCAGAAAACGTGAAGTAAGCGAGTCACAGGAGCAACCACAGAAATGATCTGCACTTGGTATTTGCACTGTCACAAAGAAGTGGGAGAGAGCTGGGGGATGGCGGGAGCAAGGAGGGCCATGAGGCAGGGGCAGAGGGGCTCCTGGGCAGCACCCGATGCCGTGAACCTCTGCTCCTTCAGCACATGAGGGGCCCCAGCAGAGAGGTGGGTCTCACGCTGCTGCTTCCCAGACTTCACCTCACATGACAAGGAGGAAGGGGATGGACACGTATTGGGGAACCACCATTGACAACGTACCATGGACCATCTCAGTTAATTGCTCTAAAGAGCTACCTGTGTGGCGGGCATCATCAACCCCATTTTAGGGAGGAAGGAAAATGAAGCTCAGAGAGGTCCAGTAACCTGGGAGGGGTCACACAGTTAGTGGATCATAGAATGGGCATTTGAATCTTAGTCTAATGCCACTACTCAGTTGACAGGTAACTGAGTGCGCCAACACCTTGCTGCTGGAGGAACTGGGCACCTGGTGCATCCCGAGTGCTATGAACTTTGGTGGCCATCCTGCTAGAGCCCAAGGCCCCTGAAGGCAAAGGTCTGAGTCTTGCTCATCCTTGTGGCCCTGCAGGCTCTGTCCCAGTTCTCTCTTGTTCTGGGATCCCAGGTGGGCATTGACGCAAGACAGGACAGTACAAGATGCACATGCACACTGAGGTCCAACGAGGTCACTAGGCTTTTAGGGGGCAAGCTGACCACTGCTGCTGCGCCATGTGGGCAGCACTTCCTTCCCTCTCCCGACCACAAGGACCTCTTCCGAATTGACCCTTCCTCTTCTCTAGTTTCTCTCTCTCCCTGCACATGAGACTTAGACCTACACAGGCAGTCATGTTCTTGAAGGTGGCCATGCCCCAGGGCAGACCCAGTGAGCACTTACCTGTTTGTCATCTTCATTCTTGCAAAGGACAAGAACCACCGGGGCGCCAGGGAAAACGGTGATGACCGACAGGCACAGCTCCTCCTGTATGATCTGCTGGGTGTATGTGAAGGCCCATATCTGGAGGGAAAGAGGCCAGGAAGGGTCACATCGGGATCCTTGGAAGCCCCCACTGGTGGGACACTACTGTGCCTGCGTGGGATAATGAGGACAGCCGGTACAAAGCACCGGGGCTCCTAGCAGGAACTGACATCAACAAGGTCGCCCTAGAGAATGCTGCTCAAGAGCCAGAGACTCAGAGATCACACCCCCACTGAAACCTCTGTCCCCACACCCTGTGAAGGGGACTGGCCTGGGGAGTTCAGGCCGCCTCTGCGAGGCACTGAACAATTCGGGGCTTTGGGCAGGAGCCTAAACAACACAACAGCCACGCAGCGTGGTGTCCAATCTCTGTTTGGATTGGATTGGTGTCTGTACCCCACACCTGATATTTTAAGCAGCTACTTGGTAGGTCACCCCCAGCAGTCTCTAGAATGCCCCCTCTTCTTTGAAAAGGAGCCCAATTCAGCATCCTGAGAACACGAGAATTAACGGCAGGAGGCAGACAGAGGGACAAAGGGAACGAGGAGGTGTTCTGAGGGAGGGAGAGGAAGAAGAGCGGAGAGGGAAGAAGAAAGTCATGAGAAATAAGTTATTCCCAGTGGGTGTGTGCACTCCAGCGCTTGGGTGTAACAGGTCATCTGGCCTCTGAGCTCCTGCGGAGAGAGCAGAAGTCAGATGGACAAGCAGAGTCCTGACGGTGAAAGAAAAGGGGCATCCTGAGAGGTTCATTATGGGAAAGGTTCCTCACACATTTCCTCAAAGGTGCCAGAGATCAGAGCAACCAACTGCTCCTGAAGAAGCCCAAACTACTTCGCAGTTCATAAATCAGGGGGGCGAAGGTGCTGGCCTAACAGTTGTCAAATGTGAACCTCCAAGAGGTTTCTCCCACCTTGGGAAATGGGGATAACCCCTGCCCTTTGCCTTCATCATGCGGCAAAGCAGATGATTCGTGAATTGGATGCCCCGAGCAAAGCTGCAGAGAGGACCCTGTTGAGGGCCGTATCTCTCCTCCCCTACTATACCCTTGCTGACCAGTTGACCCTCGGCCTCTGGACCAGGCCACTCCTTGGCTACTTCTCCTTAGCTCAAGAAGGAAAAAGGGTGCCTTAGCTGGTCAGCCCCTGCTCTAGGACCATGTGTTCCGTAAGTCAACAGGGTCCATCTGCTCCTCATTTTGCTCCTTCCCTAGCTCATGGCAGCCACCTCTTGGCCCCAGGTCCTCACTTGACTTCGACTGTCCCCTGACATCTCCAATGTCTTTCTGTGACCTGGCTTGTTCCTCCTCCTCTCCCACAGGCTTGGGCCCTTCTGCTCTCCCCACCAGACCACCTAGATGCTGACAACTGCTTCTCCTGATCTGGGACCTTACCCTGTCCCTCACACCTGGATGGGGCCACCACCTAGTGGGAGCCACTGTCCCCTAGGGTTGTGTCGTGCCTGTGGATTCTTTTGTCCCTTTTCAAATTGCTGATGTTAGGGGAAGACCTAGACCAGAAAGTCCTCCCTGGGGAGTGGAGAGAAAAATAGAGACGAAAAAAGACTGGCTGTGAGATGAGAATTCTTGAAGCCTAGGGATGGGTACATGGGGGTTCTTTATACTCTTCCATCTATTTCTATCCCTATTTTAAAATTTTTCTAATAAAAAGTTATGAAACGTACTCCTTGGGACCTATCAAGGGGTTCTCTGGCCTTGTGCATGTGAGCATTCTCCACATGGATCTGCCTTCCTCCAGGAGAAGCTGGAAGGGGAGAGACCTTTGTGTGCACAGAGGCGATGCAATACCGTGATGGCCCTGCTACATAATGGTTAACGTTTATGGAGGATTATTACGTGCCAGGCACTGTTCTGGGAGCTTTATACAGAGTAATTTAATCTTCAAAAGACTCCTAATAGGTAGGTATTATTATTATCCCCATTTTACAGATGATGAAAGTAAGGCTCAAAGAGGTTATCCAAAGTCACGTAAGTGGCCCACTCTCTTCAATAGCTCTGCTAGTGCTGCTGCTGCCGCCAGTCATGGCTGGCGCTGGCGCCCTTCTATTCAAGTTTAATCACAGGGGCTGTCTGTCCCTGAGACGCCTCTTCCAGGTCGTCAATACTAAAACTATAGATCAGCTCCATCTGGACAGCAGAGAACTGGCAAGAGGTTCTTCTTCTTGGCCAGTTCCCAAGGACAACCCCTAGGAGGAGAGAAGCAGAGTCACCCCCCATGGTGGGGACTGGGGACAAGGCAGACCAGAGAGTAGGCCCCTTCCCTAACATGGGTGGGAACTGGGGCAAGAGAATGAATGGAGGCCCACACTCTGTGGACTCCACTCCAGACCAGGGGACAAACGCAGCACTGGCTTCCAGCCTGGGCCTGCCCCTCCTTCCTTCCCACTCCTCTCTCTCCCTGACTGTGAACTCCCAGCCTGCATATCCACATGTGGTCATTCCCCTCACGGTCCCCCTTGGGCCTAGGTATGTGCTAGGGACACAGTCCCCCCTCAGGAGGATGGACCCAGGGGTGAGATCCATGCAGGTCCTGAAATCAGGCTCCACCCATTCGGGTGGGGGCTCTTGGGTCCTAGACATCTGGAGTAGAAGGTGGGAGCGGATCCTGGGTGTGGGCCCCGAGGATTCCCTGCCCTCTGGCGGTGGGGAGAGAAGGGCCCAGGTTCAAGAGCAAGGCTGCCAGGGAGCTATTTGTCCAGGCCCATCGTACAACTGGCCTCAACTTTAGACATCTGCATCATCTGGAAATGAGGCTGAACATGTAGTCACTGATGTGGAAAGAAGACAAAGTTCATCCCTCTGTCTCATTATCCGACCACACAGCTCGCAGTGAACCATGAATTAGCATGTTAAAAATAAACCCTGTAATTATCCTATGATCACCATAATACACTGGCTTTGTATTTTTTATGTTAAAAGCATTAACTGATTAAATATAAAAACTTAAAATATACCACCATTTCCGAAAGCCCATTTTGGCTTTTCTTCTTTTTTTTAATATTCTACGGGCTTCAAAGACTGGAAGTGCTGGGGGTGGGAGGGGAGAGGTAGTTCTTTTGACATCTGAGACACCCCCTCCACAAGGGCCTTTCGGGAAGGAATGCATGTGGTACACCCCAGGCTGAGGCTGGGGCTGAGGAAACCACCGCAAGACACCCAGGGGAGGATGTGCACACGCAGACGGGAATCGAAGCCCTTACGCTAAGCGGGCTTTCCGTTAGCTGGTGCTTTACTGGCATCAAAAGAATTCAGCCTCACAATTTCCCAGAGGAACACAGCTCTCTGGCCACATCTGCAAGAGAGGGGAGGAGGGAAGCAGAACACAGGAGTGAGTTGGGCAGGAAGCAAGGAGAGGTTTTCCGATTCCCATTCTGCGGCCTGTCAGACTTCCCAGAACGACCAGTGATGAATGGGTTTATTAAATGTATCCTGGAGTCAGAAATGGATTCAGGAAGGCAGCAGTGGTTGGTTAGGGTGACCTGGCCTCCATCGCTGAGCACTGGGCCACCTGCTGAGACTCCATCTGGGACACTGGCAAAGTCATAGCTCCTACTCCCAGTGTACACACACACAGCTATACCCATGAAAGGTAACCCAGAGGCCATTCTGGAGGTGGTGTGGGTGGCCTCGCCCCTCTGGGACAGGCTAGGAGGGGGCTGAGGAGGAGGGGGTCCACTCCTGGACCTCCAGCCCCTTTGTTCCTGCCCTGGAAGAGGTGAGCTGATGATGGGGAGGGGATGGTTCAGGCTGGACAGGCTTAAGGCATTTTGTGCTTAGAGGAAGTCACTGGAGGTAAGCACTGTGGGTGGGAGAAGGGAGTGGCCTGGCTTCAGGGGCAGGAGACTTCTCTCTAGTCAATGCCCATCTGGCTGCAGCTGTGAAAGCCTGGATGAATAGGGGCCACGGCACGCAGCCTGGGGCTTATTGTCTGGCACTGGATGGAGAAGCAGAGAGGAAAGATCTTCTTAAATGGAGATAAGTGAAGGAGCGAAGTTCTGAAAGAGGCAGGCAGGAGACGAAGTGGGGGCCCCGGCACAGGGGTTCACTTAGAATGGTCCAGAGCCACCTCTAGCAGGCAAGAAGCAATCAGCCCAGGGCAGTGGTTCTCAGTTGGGGTGATTTTGTCCCCCTGCACCTACCCAGGGGACATTTGGCAGTGTCTGGAGACATGTTTTTATTATTATGACTAGGTAGGTGGGGCCAGGGTTTCTGCTAAAATCCTTCAATGCACAGGACAGTCGCCACAGCAAGGGATTACCTGGTATTAAAGCCAATAGTGCTGAGGTTGAGAAACCCTCACCTAGTCTTAAGGACTTGGTCTCCAGGAGGCAGCAGGCCTGTGTCTGAACCCTGCTGTGGCATTACTCGTGTACGATCTCGGTAGCACTGGTCAGCTTCTCTAAGCCTCACTTACTCTGTCTGTGAAATGGGGGTGAGGAGGGGGTCACTGAGGTCAGTGGTACTCTGAGCAATGCCAGGAGCTGACCCGAGTTGACTGTGAATGTGGGACCTCCTTGGTGGGATGGGATCTGAGCCGAGAGCATTCAGGGCCACTGGCAGGCCCCGAACCTCTTAGACCACACTGGGCAATGCACTCATCCATTGAACACGCCCTTGAAGCCCTCTTCAGACAAGGTGTCTGGAATGAACGAGTGGCTGCAAGTGAAACCTTAGTTAGCTGATCTCTTGATGCAGCTGGATCCCTGAAGGATCACTCAGATGCACTGACTGGCCATGCCAGGGTCGCCTCCATCAGCTGCGCAGACACAGACCTCAGCCACATCCTGGTGGAGGGCCTCTGACCAAAGGCGGCAGGGTGACCTGGCAGGCTCTGAGACACACTCCCCTCCTTCAACTGGGGCCTTCACTAGACTCACTTTTTGAGACTTTTCTTTCTTTCCAGTCCATCCTGTCCTTTCCTTCAAAGTTGTAGGAATATACTTACACATGAGATTAAATACCCACACCCAGCACATTTTTTGTAGAGTCCTGTTGACGGACTCCGGAGTGACTGCCGGGGCTGTAATCCTGGCTCACCTGCTCATTAACCCTGTGAACTTGGGTGACTTACTTAATTCTGTTCCTCAGTTCCCTCATATGTGAAATGAAGATAATATCAGTCCCTAGGAGGATAATGGTAAGGAACAAATGGGTTAATACATATGTGTGCCCAAAACGGTGCTGGCCACAGAGCGAGTGCTCAGTTACTGACTGCATGTTGACTATGATGATGGAGGAAGCCAATAGGAAGACAGATGGGCCTAGAGCTCTTCCTTTGGAAAACTGCCTTTGCTTTGCCTCCCAGGAGAGACGCTGGAGAGGCAGTTGTGATGGGCCATTCCCAAGGGTGTGTTGAGAAAGCTTGGGAAGGAGGGGTGGTATCAGGCATGGGAGGCGCTGTGCTGGCACCCTGTCCCACTGGTGGACCCACTTAGGGGTGCCAATGTGAGTCCAGGTTTGGGGGAAGAGCTTTTATCTTCATCTCACCCACCCAGGGTATCAGCTGCCTGCACGCATACTTCACAAGCCAGTGGCCTAAATTGCTAGGGACATAGGTAGAAGGACACACTAAAAAGGTTTTAATTTACGTTTTTTCCCTTTCTTTAAATTGGGATAGCAACTAGATTGCTGCATCTGTCTTCCTTCTTTCTTTCACAGATATTTTTCTAGGGAATCCAACAAAGTTAAGAGGGAATTTGTTAACCTGGAGGCTGCTTGGGCTTCACACATTTACAAACTGATGATGTATTTCTCTCACATTCCACCCAAGGCATCAGTTTGCCGACATCTTCAATATATAGTCAGATTAAACATTTTGCTCCCAAGGTTGACAAGCCAGCCAAGAAAGGGATGTTAGGCAGAAGGATGAAGGATAGATGGGACAGGGAGTGGAGAGGGACATGAGCCAGCATCAGAGCCAGGGGACAGCTATAGTCTGATAGTCTCCTTTCAACAATGAGGACACCCATGTACCTGGGGACACACCAACTGGAGAGGACAAAGCCAAGTGGAAGCAGATCTCAGGGCTCCTGACCCCCATCCTCTGGTGCTCTTTCACCCCAGACATCTAGGACTCTGGAGCTCCCCACCCAAGTGGATGGAGCCTGATTTCAGGACCTGCATGGATCTCACCCTGGGTCCATCCTCCTGAGTGTAGACTGTGTCCCTAGCACACATCTAGGCCCAAGGGGGATTGTTTAGAGGGAGTGACCATGTGTGGATATGCAGGCTGGGAGTTCAGGGTGGGGGAGTGAGGAGTGGGAAGGAAGGAGGGGCAGGCCCAGGCTGGAAGCCAGTGCTGCGTGTGTCCCCTGGTCTGGAGTAGTGTCTGCAGAGTATAGGTCTCCATTTATTCTTTTGCCCCAGTTCCCACCCATGTTAGGGAAGGGGCCTACTCTCTGGTCTGCCCTGTCCCCAGTCCCCACCATGGGGGGTGACTCTGCTTCTCCCCTCCTAGGGGTTGTCTTTGGGAACTGGCCAAGAAGAAGAACCTCTTGCCAGCTCTCTGCTGTCTAGGTGCAGCTGATCTATAGTTTTAGTATTGATGACCTGGAAGAGGGGCCTCAGGGACAGACAGTCCCTGTGATTAAACTTGAATAGAAGGGCGCCAGCGCCAGCCATGACTGGCAGTAGCAGCAATAGCAGACTATTGTGTGGTGGCTAGATTGTCCAAATCCTGCCTCCATCACTCACTAGTATATGAGCTCGGATAATCTCTCTAGGCACTGGTGTCATCTGTGAAAGGAGGAGAACAGTAATACCTCCTTACCAGGGGGCTTGTGTCATTTCCTTGATGTGGCCTCTCAGAGACAGAGGAGGTGGAGCAGGAGAGAGGCTGAATGAGTCATGGGAAAGGGTGTGAGGGGCAGATGCGACTCTCTTTGCACAGACCAAGAGGCAGGACGAGGAGAGAGACATGGGAGGGGAGAAGTGGGGAGAAGAGGCAAAGCAGGGTTAAGAGGAGCGAGCCCTCCAACCCTGGGACGCATTAGCAGAGCGGTCAGGAGGCAGGAAGGCAGGACTGCGGGCTCATGCCAGAAGGATGAGAAAGGTAACACCAGTCAGTGCTACATGTGTGTATACTCCACACACAGATGTGTGCACACACACACGGGGATTATTCAAGCTGAGCGAGTTATGTGGATTTCTATCAGTCTAGGGTGGGTTTACCACCTTCAAAACACTTGGACATGCATCCCAGTCCCGCTGTTGGCTGCGCCCCCTCTAGAAGGGGGTTGTGTCTAACCCAGCCTAACCCCACCTTGCACCCCAGCCTGCAGCCTGCGGCCCGGGGCACCGTGGGCACTCGGTATTTTCTGCTCAGGCGGAACGATAATCTTTCTATCTCCAAGTGTTCTTCCATTAGCCTGAATTCACACTGCTGCTACACAAACCCAATTGTTCTCTCCAAAGCAGAGAGGAGCCACAGCTGGCACTACCATCTAGAAGAAACTCTGCTCACTTCAAGACTGTTACTATGATAACCTTTAGTTTCCCACAGATAATGGCTTTTTCCTCCTCTCTCTCACACTCCTGGAAGGTCACCTGGGATAGGCACTATTACCCTCTGGTCAAATAAATGCCTGGCAACCTCTCCCTAGGGCCAGGCTATTGGGGGACCAGAAAAGCCCCCGCTTTGTGGAGACAGACCAAGCGAGCTCCTGTCCCAGGGAAAAGGGAGGCGACAACATTCTGGCTCTTGGGACCCCCATGAATAGCACCCATACACAGAGTCAGAAGAGAGGGATGTGCGTCACCTACTCACATCTTACAAAATGCCATTTGAGCAAATTGTGTCACTTCCAGCCAGGCTGCCACACCTACAGCAAAATGGACACCTCTGCTTCCTCTGCCTTTTCTTGTCTGACTCAGGCAGCCCCCTCCCGTGTCCTGCTGGAGCAGAGAGTCGGCTCTTGAAAATGTCACAGCAAGGGCAGGCAGGTGGTGAGAAGCCTCAAACGCTGGGCCAACAGTGTGGATTTTTGTGGTAGACAATGGGGAGCCATTGAAGGCTATATTGAGATGAGGAACAATGTTTTGATGATTGCAGGTCAAATGGGGGATGAGGTGCAGGGACTGGAAGTTGTGGCCAGATTCTAACACAATGGTTCCCCACAGAGAGGTTTTGTGCCCTAGGGGCATTTGGCAAAGCCTGGAAACAGTTTGATTGTCCTGAGTGGTGTGTATGGGGGTGCTACTGGCATCTGGTGAGCAGAGGCCAGGGATGCTGCTAGACAGCCTATGAAGCGAGGACAGCCCCCACCACAAAGAATTATCCAGCCCAAAAAGTCAGGGGTGCTGAGGCTGAGGAATGCTGATCAGGCATGAAGAAGTGAATGCAGGGTCCCAAGAACAGCTATTCCGAGGGAAGAAGTGATGGGACTTGCAGAAGCGGGGGACACAGGAGAAAGAGGAGCCACAGCAGATGACAAGATTGGAACCATGGAGTCTGGGAGAAAGTGGCCACGTGGAGAGAAATAGTGGGGTGGGGAGAGGGCCGGGGTGTCTGCCATGTGCTGGTAGCTAACCGTTGGCTTGAATTACAGATGAGTTTGTTGTGGCTGTGGACTTGCTCCATCACCCAGCCTCAGCCCAACACCTGTGAATGCTATTTCCTGGGCCGCCCTCCCTCCCCTCCTTGATTTGGCCTATTTCCCTCATCTCTCAGGACGCAGCTCATTTTCAAGTCCTCTGGAAGGCTTCCCTGATTCTCATGCATATGTTGGATGACTCTCTTGGTGCTTCTATAGTGCCCTGGACAAAACTCTATCCAGGACTGAGATTCTATCAGAATGGCTGCTTACTTGCTTATTTCTGTGTTTGATCCCTCAAGGGGCCATGGAGGCCTGCAGCCTAGCTGTTCATCTCTGCACTTTCACCATTGGAGAAAATGTAGATGTTTGTTGAGTGAATTAATGAATGAATTCATGGATGGATGAAGATATAGAATTTGCGGCTCACCGAAACAGAGGAGGTTGCTAAAGCTGGACGCATGGATAAAATCTCCAAGAAACCAATTTTGGAGAAAAGAACAGCGACCTGAGAACCTTGGTGAATACTCATCATAAGGGTATGAGAGTGGAGGAGAAGAGCCAGCAAGAAAACAGAGATGGAAAGAGCAGGAGTGCAGGAGAATCAGGATCAAGCAGCATCATCAGAGCCAGGAAGAAAGGTACGAGATGGATGTGCTGTAATGCATCCAGCAGGCCAAGGGTTACAGAGATTGAGACAGGCTGTGAATGTGTCAGTGACCTTTACAAGAGCAGCTGCATCCTTAGAGGGGAGAACGCTGACCTGCAGAACACAGCGGTGTTATGCTGATGAATCAAGTAAGGCACAAGGAAACCTTTCTGAGAAAGGGCGACACAGTTCCTCCAGACCTGGGGAAGGCAGGAGAGAGCAGAGGTGGAGCCACAGGCCTGCTGAGGGCAGGACTGGGACAAATGAGGGCACCGTCCAGAGCAGGGCTGCGGACGACGGTGATGGTTTTACCAAATCTGACGTGACTACCTGGCAGTCATTGAAACCAGCAGGAGGCTCACAGAGCAGGCATTTCATCCTGCTTTTCTCCATTTGCATTTCATATTTGCTAGGAAGCTGTTCCCCCACCCTGCCTGACCCAGCCCACATTTACTGCCAGCAGGTTGGATACCAATGACGCCCTTCATTCAACTGCTAATTTAATGGCAATTTCCTATAGGCATGATGTTGCCTGCGAAGGTGTCTTTCAGAGAACTTCCATGCATCTGGCAACCCAGCAGAGTGAACCCAGTCCAGACTGAGGGTGCATCAAACTTCTCCAGCTCTGCAGCTGAGCTCTGGCTATAACTGGACACCTAATGTCATGTAGAAGCAGGTGATGGGGGCTGAGTCTACGCACACGTTCATATATCCCCAGCCAATTACTTACCTGGGACATTGTATCCTCGCCTTTGCTCTTGACACAGGGGCTTAACTTGACATTGGAGATCTTTTGGTTATCCTGCTTTTGAGACTCTAGGCACTTCTGCCTCTGTCGGATATTGCCCTTCTGGATGGACGAATCCTTGGGGATTCTAGAGGAAAGCCACAGGAGAGATGAGAATCTGCTGGTCTTTGGACTAGTAATACTAGCAGCTGGAGGGGTTGGGGCAGTGTTTTGAGAATGGCAGGGGTGTTTCACCCTGGGCTGTGTTATAAGAATTTGTGCTGCTGGGGGTGGGGTGCCACTAGGAACAAGGCCACCAGGAAAGACACAGGAGCCGCAAGGGTAGATGGAGCCTGGAACAGAGCTCTCAGGTCACCCCAGGGCTCAAACCCCAGAGGATGAGAAATACTGCTACTAGCTAACCATTCATCTCTGATGCTACTGATTAATATAATTCCTCTCTGGTTTCAGGGATAAGGGGAACCAACTGTTCTTCTCAGACCTGCATATCCTTAATAACTCTCATCTAGTTTGCTACAGGCTGTCTCCTCTCCAGACCAAGTCAGCCGAGGGCCCCTCCTTGCAGCCAGCAAAAGCTTGAATGGTAGAGTAGATACCTGAGTTCTGGGTAGACATTCTCCAGGTACCACTTGAAGCTCTGGCACAGCAGAGTGCTCCTTAGGTCCACTCTGCTGTCAATGCTAGGGATGACGGCGATGGGGGGAGATAAAAGATAAAACACAGATAAAGATTAAAAAAAACGAAGATAAAACACAGCTGTGTCAGAGACAAGTACCAGGCTGGGAACCAAAGAGCACAACCTGCTCCCATGTCTCTCTGGAGAGTGCTGGAGACATTAACCAAGAGAGATTTCTAGGGCTTCAGACAGAGCTATGGAAACACTTAGCAATATCTCACAACAGTGCCATAATGACACCAAGGACTTCGGCTTTTACTTGGAAATGGAATTTGGGTGTGTTTTTACTTTCCATTAAAAACCAAGCTACAAGAACATAAAGTGTGTTAATAATTCACTGTTGGGGCTTTGCCTACTTACTCACAAATCTCTCCTTGGATTTTGCAATTGAAATACCACCCCTGACTGCCCAAGCCTCAAAGAATCCTCTCCTTTGGCTGGTCCTGCCGCCTGGGCAGGTATCTGTTCATCAGATGTTTATTGAGTACCTAATATGTGCCAGGCATTGTGCCCAATGTGGGATATGATCGTGAGCTTTTGAGCAGTAGAGAAAGGTAATGAAACAAGAGACTCCAAGCCTACATAGACATGAGATGGACATGTGGGGGCTGTGGGAGAACCTCAGAGGTGCACCCTTGCTTGTTGGGTTTGTGGTGGTCAAGGTAGTGATGTCGGTGCTGGTATCTGGAAGGAAAAGTAGATGTTATCCAGACACACCAGAAAATGGGTGAGGTAGGGCCCCTGGGAAAGACAGGGGAATAGTGAAGAGAGATTAGTGCATGTGGAAAAGTGAGATGAGTCCTGTTGGCAGAGGCAGTGCTGCAGGAGGTTAGAATGTATGCATGTACGTATATGTGTGTGTGTGTATGTGTGTATGTGTGTGTGTGTGTGTAGTTAGGAGGCAGTGGTGGAAACCCAGGTGCTCATCATGCTTTCAGGTAGGGAAATGAGTGTGCAAACAGAGAGAAATCACAGGTTTGAGTCCCTCTTCTTCTCTCCATCTGTACCACCAGCTCCTGCCTGAGTGCTATTTACACTTTGTCCTTCCTTGGCAACCATACAGAACTGGCCCCGCTCTGTCCAGCCTCACCTCCTTCCACCCTTGCCTAGTCCAAGTGCTCTCATGGCACTGGGATTTCTTATACAGCACCACCCACATTTCCTCCCCAGACTCTAAGTTCCATGGGGACAGCAATGATGTCACTGTTTTTAAACAATACTGAATGTTCAGTATTTAGCAAGGACCTGGGTGCTCAGCGCATGAATGAGGCAGTACCACTGGGACTTGGTGAGCGTTTGGATGTGCAAGGAGAGGAGGAAGGAGGAGTCAACGTTGACACCCAGATTTCTGACTTGGTAATAGGATGCAAGGAAGAGCGTCCACTGAGATGGGGAATATGGGATGAGGAGCAAAGTGGATGAGCTTAGTTAGGACTTGTTGAGTGAGAGGCGCCAGGGAGATATCCAGGCAGAGAGGTCCCGTTGATACTTGTATATAAGGGCCTGGAGCTCAGAGAAGAGGTCCAGGTTAGAGATAGAGATGCAGGTAACAGCAGTGTAGAAGTGGTGGTTGACGCCAGGGTGAATGGGTAGTAAGAAGAGGGATTATGACAGACTCTTGGGGAAGCCCAACATAAAAGGTGGGAAGAGGACACTGAGGCTGCAAACAGGACCGAGAAGGTGGAGCTTGAGCAGCAGGGCAAAAGCCAAGACCGTAGTTGTGGAAACATAGATATCAGAGATGCCCTGGAAGAGGGACAAGGAGGGAGAAGACATCCCAATGAAGTAACGGATGACGTAAAGGGGCCAAGGGAGTCACGCGTGAGCCAGGTGGGAGCGATTGCAGGAGACTGGGGGAAAGGCCGCACACACATCACATCACAGTCAGGGGAGGAGGGATGGGGAGGTGGAGCCGGAGACAGCGGATGCGGACAGCTGTTTCATGAAGCTTGGCTCTGATGGAGAAGACAGCGGTGTGGGTGATGAGCAACGTTGGACCGAAGGAGAGTTTTTGTAGTTTGTTTTCTTTCCTCCTCTTCCTTTTTTTATTTTTAAGATGTAAGACACTGAATCCGTTTAAAGGCAGATGGGAACCATGCAGTAGAGAGATTAGGGATCAGGAGGGAGTGTGGAGACATGTGGAGGGCAAAGTCCCGGAGAACACTGGTTCCCACAATGTCTGCACCTCAGAATCACCCAGGGGTGGGGGATGTCTGAAAAATTCTACTTCCCAGGCCTCACCCCAGACTAAATCAACTCTCTAGGGGTGAAGTAGGGGCATCGGTAGTTTGTGAAGCTCCCCGGGTGACTGCAATACGCAGGCTAGTCTGGGAACCATCACCCTAGAACCTTGCTCCTTGAATTCAGGTCCACAGAGCAGCGGCACAGCATCACCTGGGAGCTCATTAGAAATGCAGCCTTACTCAGCCAGCATCCATAGCTTAACAAGCTCCCTAGGGGATCTGTGTTCACATTAAAGTTTGAGAAGCCCTGAGCCTGGAGGAAGGGGGAGATGAAGCCAGACAGTGGGAACTCGATAAATGTTGATTTATGAATGAATGCAGGAATGAAAGGTGCATCCAGAGTACAGGTGGAGGGCTGGCCTGACACAGCAGGAAGCACACCTTGTTCTTGGAGATGAAAGAGACAGAGGAGGATGGTGCAGATATTGTATAGTGAAGTTTATAGGTGGGTCTGTCTTGGGAAGTTGAGGCCATCTATTTCATCCATAAAACAGAAGGTGTCATCTGCTGTGAGTGAAAGGAGGGGAGTGGCCTCAGAGGCTGGGGAGAGTTGAGAAGGTTTAAATGGCAAATGAGGGGGAGCACTGGCCAGGAAAATTGGCAGGACCAGTAGGCACACTGAGGGCCTCCTGGGACTGATGGCCATGCAGGGTTAGCAGCACCTGCTGATGTTTCCCAGAACAGCTCAGCAGCTGTGCACAGGGGAGGACAAAGGACAAAGTTGGGGTCATCCAGGGTAGAGGGAACTTTGCTTGGGGATGTTGATGGATGCACAACAGGGCAAAAGATCTGAGGACAACAACTTTTAAGCACTCTCTTCAAGCATAAGAGTGGAATCCAAGCTGGAGAGGAAAGTACGGAATAGAGGGGTGGATGGACATGGCCAGTGGACTGGGAGGTGATGAGGACTCAGAACAAATGCCTTACGAGGCTCTGGGTGAAAGAACTGGGGGGACAAATCACTTTGTCAGGGTCTGATTTAATCCTCCCAGCAGTGATGGGCTCGACCTGTGAAGTGCTGGCTGTAAAAAACACATCTGCTCAACAGCCTGACCAATGAATGACATTAGTATGACAAAGAACCATCGGTTCACCTCCAAAAAGATGAATGATAACATAAATGAAGTTGCCATCTTTCTCTCTTCAAATCAGCCCTGGGCTGGGGAATGCAGCATCATTTAGTTTTGGAATCAGACAGGTGTGGTTCAAGCCTCATCTCCCTCTTACAGTGACGTGATCTAGGGCAAGTAGCTTAACTTCTAGAGGCCTCAGTGGTCTCATCTGTAGAACAGGGGTAATTATACCCATTTCTCAGAGTTTGGGGAGGACTAATGAGATATCTTCTGTAATGGCATCTAGCACTTCATAAACACCCCTTCCCCTGTCCTCTTCCACCCCCGTGAGGCGGGAGCGCTGCTGTAGGGGACACTGTGTGATGCTGCTCTCCACAGGAAGGAGGAGAATTCAGGCTTGGCGGACTGAGAACTAGCAGGAGGGAACTCAGACCCGGAGGGACTAGGGCTGTTTAGTCCCACATCCTACCTTCCTGTAAAAAGCTAGAAATATTGGTCCATTGAACAAGGCACAGCCCCACCTAGTGAGTTGGTGGTCCAGATTGCCAGAGTCATTCTACCAGAGCTGCCTAAAGCTCTGCACCACCAGAACTGGGCCGGAGGAAGAAAGGGTGGGAAAGGAGAACAGCCCTAGTCTGGGCCCCGGAGGGGCTGAGAGGCTGGGGGGACTGGCTGACAGGCCTGTCAGGACACGCTCGCCTTGGGCCTATGAGCTGCAGCTCTTCTCAACTCTGCACAAATCAACCAGAAGGGACACTTACTTTCCAAACGGCCTCTCCAGGGCGAACGGCCGGGCAGCATAATAGTACTGCTTGTATTCATCCATCCACACTTCAACTGTCCGCTTGGTGTTCCTGTGGGGAGAGGGGGTGTCACGGAGGGGCTCTCTGAGAGGACCCATGATGCATCCAGTTAAAAAACACACACGTGAGCCAGTTGGCAGCACTACGGGGTGGGGCAACCAGGATCCAGTAACACTATTCTTCCCAGGGTGCTGAGCCCAGACAAGCCCTACGCCCTCTCCAAAGGGAACTTTACCCCAAGATACAGGATTTTAATAGTTATGACAAACTCTTCCCCAAAAGGTACAGACCAGAAAACTTACTCTAGAAACTAACAACTTCTGTAGCTCTTTTTAAAAAATTCTCAGTGAGAAAAGAGCCAGGAGAACCTGGCACATCCACGTGGTGCTAGAGACCAAGACGAAAGAGCGGGACCTGTGTTGGCCATCTCGCCTCTGACCACCCAGGCTGGTCCCCCAGGTGCTCCCCCTTACACAAGGGAAGTGTTAGGGTGCCAGCTCTCCAAGGGGAAAACCAATCACCGGGTCTTCCCGGCAGCTGTGCGAGCAGCTTGGTGCAGGTGTAAAGAATTAAGGAATCAAGCCATTTGTCCAACATTTTGCCAGCTCTCTTAAGTTTTTTAAATCAGGTATTTAAGTATCAGGTATTTGAGTCTGACCCCAAAGGTCACAGAAAGAGAGAGACAGACATGGAGGATGTCATTATTCAGCAGTCAGGGAGGCAGGGATATCAGGAAGAGCCCAGAGCAGAGACAGACGACGTGGGAAAACAGTCAGATGGCGGGAGCAGTGCGGGAGCAGCACCTGCCGAGGCGCACGTGAGCGAACTTGGGCTCTCACTGAAAAGGACGTGTTCCTCCACACTTCTGGTTCTGTTTGGAGCAGAGAGAATTGATAGAGGAGCATGGTGAGCCCTTCCAAGCTGGTGACATGAAATGACAGTCATGCACACAGCCTAGTTCTTGGTGCACTGAAGGCAGTTAACAGCATCCTGCTGGCTCCTTCCACTGGCCTGACCATCAGCAAACTGGAAGCTGCCTAGTAGATGGCTGTGCCACCTTTCTCTAACCACTGAATGACCCACTGGTGGCATGCAGGGAACCCACTGGCCAGGGCCCAGTCTCAAAGACAATGAATGTTCTGGATCCCAAGGCTCTGCCCTCTCATCCCAGCCTGGCTCCACTGCACATCACAGCCCCACGGCTGCCCTACCCCAGATGCCCCCAGCTCACCTTTCCCCAAGAGCAAAGCAGCCTGACCTTCGTTCCCACTGCTCCCGCCTGCTGGGCTTCTTCGTGCCCGACCCTTGCCACCACTGTGCTGTGACAGGTGTTGTTAACTCTCCTGCTCAGTCCCACACCTCCTCCCAGACCGCCGTGTCAGGACACGACCCACACCTGCTCATACGTGTGAAAACCGAGGACCAAAGAACTCAGAAGAGGAAAGCGACACCTCAAACGAAGGAAAACACCAAAAGAGGTGCATAGCTCCTCCCTCCCCAAAATAGACCTAATGATAGAAAAACAGGCAAAAGGGGAATAAATGGGTGAGTGAAGCTGTCAGAGGACAAGAGGATTAGCAAAAAGGAGAGAAGAAGCCAGAGGAAAAGATGAAAGAGAGAAAAAGGGATACACATGAATTATTTTTCAAGGAGAGGAGACAGGTTGAAAGAGAAGAAATCAAGCAAACGAGAGGGTGTACGAAGGAAGCAGGCAGGAGGAAGCAAGTGGGCACTGCTGGGTCGCTGAGTCCCTGGCACCTTCATCCTGTTCCCCAGGCAGGAGATGAGATGTTGCAGGGCCTGCCCAGCCTGGGCCCTGTCTATGTACCAGTGAGGCCCTGTGGCAGGCATGTGAGTTGTATCCACCTGTACCTCCCCATTCCCAGATCTTCCAAGGACCTTTCCGCTGGTGACTCAGCCTGAAGGCAGGAGCAACAGATCTTCTACAACTCAGAGGCAAAAACAGCCTCCTCTCCTTCACCCCAAACAACCCAAAACACCCCGAGCCCTGAGCCCTGGAGGATGGTGCTGCCCAGTGATTTGAAGCCCCGGAGGCCACATGTGGGGCCCCAGGGGAGTCAGTGGGGGAGATCAGCCTGGGAGCCGCCTGCCTAATGCCAGATTGGCATTAGGCAGAGCCCCAGGGAGCACGATGTGCATGTCCTGTCCATTCAGAAGGCTCAGGCAACCTACCGGAGAACCTAGGACAGCCACAACCCATCACCAGGAAGGCCCTCAGTTTTCTGCTGCCCCCACGGAGCCCCTGGAACGTGCACTTACTTTATATATGTGTTGGCGTTTCCATCTGGGAAGACATATGGGTGCTTCTTCCGGAAGACATGGCCCACTCGGCTGCAGGGGACAATCTCGAGGCTGCCCCCACACATCCACACTCTGAAGGAGATTTCTGCAAGACAGCAAGGCTCCCTTCATCACTTTGCACCCCTGGAAGGGAGGGGACACACGACAGCAGCTTCAAGGCACTAGGCCCGAGGAAGTGGCAAGGGCGTGCTACACCCAGCCTAGGGTGCTCCAGTCACAGCGTGTGCTCTGCTGGCTGGGCAACCTCAGTTTCCCCATCTGCCAATGGGGATGATAATAACTCACACTTGGGAATGTGGTAATGAGTTAATATGGAAACAGTGGCTGGCATGGAGGAGCACCTATCTAAATCAGCCCCTGTTCCATCCCCTCATGGAGGGACATATTCAGGGGCCAACATGGTGGGGGGCTCTGCTGCGATGCTTTAACCTGGAAAAAGGAACCTTGGGACAATGAGAGAGCTGCTTTTGGACACGTGGAAGATGGATTAGACTCGCTGGTATGACCCCAGTGGGTTAGAACCAGGACTGAGGAGAGAGAATTTCTATTCGAGAACATGGGAGAATTTTCAGACAGTCAAGAGCGAGATAGAAGTGGCTGAAATGGAGGTAGTGAGTTTCGCACTCTGACATGCTAGCAAAGGACATGGCCAGGATGCAACGAGGAGGATCAAGCTCCCAGGAGATACTTAGACAAGAAGTCCAGGAGAGCGCCTACCAAAACCCAGACTGCAATTCTACCAAAGGGCGCCTGAATCGTAGCCCAGGAGGAAGTTGGAGCATTAACCAAGAGCTGAGAGCAGCCACAGACAATGCTAGAAGCCTCAAAGATGTTGCTGGGGGTGCTCCCCTGGGCGGGGATTTTGCACACATACCCATTTCTTCCTGGTTGGCTGCTGCTGCAGGGACCTCAGAGAAGTGGGTGGGGTGCAGCAAGCAGAGGCCCCTGGGGCTGCTTACTGGCAGGCTTGAGGCAGTGGTGCTGGCCCAGAGGAAGCAGTGGAATACCAACAGGTTGGGGGGCATAGCTTATCATGGCCACTGTGTAGAATTGCCAGCACAGAGTGATAACAAAAAGCAGAATGACCGTAGGTAGTTTTATTATTGCTTTTAACCTCTCTAGACAGTGTACCCCCTTACTGCACCCAGGGCAGGCTGCCCTCCTGCACCCCACTGGGTCTGCCGCTGGTGGGAAAAGCCAGCTTCCTATCTGGGAATTCGTGCCCAAATTCTGCCCGGCCCATGCTTCTGTAGTCAAACTCAAGTATGAGGAAGACAGGCTGGGTCAGGAAAAATCCATGTCCGTGGGTAACTGCCCCTGGGAGGGACCACGTGGAAGTAGACCGGGTGTCCACACATGAGCAGGGAATGAGGCTATATTCCAGTACCTTCCCACCACATATGTGCCCTGCACCCTCCATCACCTTGGGCCCCATCTCGCTAGGTTTCTTCACCACCGGTCCTCTCTCTCATCCACTGCCCCTCCCACTTCCTGCTCTGCATCTCCCTTCATCCCAACTCTCAAAGAAGGTGCTTGGACCACAAATTCTTCATCCTGATCCTCACCTGCTTTCTCACTCACCTGTCCTTATCCACCCTTTACCTGTATCTTCCTGCCTCCTGCCATGTGTCCTTGGAAAGGCCAGTGAGTTGCAGGAAAGGCTTCCTTGACACCAACTCCACTGTTGCCACCTTCTCCACATCTCCCCTCTGCCTGCCCAGGTGCTGTCACGAATGGGCCACTGCTCATTCCCAGGAAACTCAGATTTCCCTGAGTGGGGACAATGTGTGCTCTAGGATGAAGAAAGTTCTTCTCAAGATTGCTACTGAATGATGACAAGAACAAGGGATGGGGGAGGAACGGGAAGAACTTGGCTTTGGGGTCAGCAGCCCCGAGCCTGCAGTAATCTACTAGCTGTGTCCCTGAGGAAACCTGCTGGAACTCCCTGAGGGTGGGTTTCCCCAGACGTCAAACGAAGATCATAAAAGCACTCCACAGGATTACTGTCGGCATCAAATGACATAGAATTCTGAGAATAACTGTGCAAACTCCAAGTGCAGTTAAAAGATCTGCAGCAGTTAGGACATTCCTCTGAAGCCAGTCACTAAGACACGAACACCAATGGCATCGCCCACTTCCAACTTCCCAGACGATTTACAGCCTTCTTTGGCTACAGGAGGCACTTGAAATTCGTGGATTCAACGCTCCAGATTTTGATTCTCTGTAAAGGTTCATGATACCTGGCAATCTGGCGTGTGACTGGGGCACTGATGAAATCGTGTGTGCCAGCCTGGTGTCTGTAGGAGTGAGCTTAGCCAACTGCCAGCACCCACCTCTCCAGCTTGCAGTGAGTGCACCAAGGGGCTGAAGAGGTGGTCCATGGAGTTATGTAGTACTTTTGCGCATTTAGGCTCAGGATGTCTTCCTTAACAGGTCTAAGGTCTACTGTGCCTCAATCAACTCCTCTCTGGGATCTCAAAACACAGTCTGCTCTAGTTCCCAAAAAGGAAAAACCTCTCATGTCTCAAAACCAGAGACGGAGGCCTTGCTTACTGATATAACCTACAAATTTTGTGCCAGCTTTCTTCCAAAAATATGCATACGTTTCAGCTATGGTCTCTTCCTTTCATGTATTCAAATGAGACATATGTCTCTCTTTATTTGCAAAGCGAATCCCTCCAACCTAGGCCTCAATCTCATCCCCCTACACTCCTGCAAACTGCTTCTTTCCTGTGCTCCCTTTGCCCAGCATTTTGCTTCTCTCTGAATCTACTGACCCCCCTCCCCTCTGCCCAGTCATGCACAGACCCCCCAACTTGGAAAGTAGTCACCTGAGCCTGCTCCTTCTCCACCTTCCTTCCAGTCTCCTGGCATTCTTCACCCCAAGGCTCTGTCTCTGAGTGTCTTCCTGACACTGCTTCTTCATCTGACCCCAACGTTCACTTGATGCCGAGGACTCACCTCCATGCCGCCAGCCCCAGCTCTGCTCCAGGCTCCAGCACCAACTTCCAATGGCTTCTTCATACTCAGTCGAGGAGCGCTGGGCACCATCAGAGGCATCAGTGCATCCTGCCCGCCTGTCAGCACCTCCCACAGCCGGCAGCAGCCTGCCTCCTCCCTCCACCTCGAAAACCACCCTTCCTCCTCCTCATTTTCCTGTGCCTGGTGCTTTAGCCTAAAACTTCAGAGTATCTCAGTTCTGCAAACATGAGCCATGGGACAAAAATGACCTCTTCATTAACTCCTGGGCAAGGCTTTGTTCGGTCCTCTCTCAGGTGAGAGCTGAGTTGTGCCAACAACCTGCTTGTGGTTGTGGATGTTCTTACTACACGATGCAGAAGCGGTTTTGATAGGACAACTGCCGGCGGGTAGCTTGCCATCGAAGCACCTCTCCCCAACTCCTAAACTCATGCTCTTGCCCTGATTCCACCCTCCCTCAGGAGTGAACACTCACCATCAGCCAGGACAGCTGTGGATACAGAGATACTGACTTCAGGGCACTCAGACCAACAAGAGACAAATCTATCGCCAGCTGTCACGTTTCTTCCTCATCCACTCATTCATCCAAACCTGACACAGGTCCATCTTAGTTCTCCTTCAGGCCAGCTGAGGCTCACAGCAGCCTGCCTTCTGAGATGTGGCAGGAGTTTCTCTCCTCTAGAGTTCAGACTGTCGTAACTGAGATGTTCAGAGACACGCGGGCTGACATACATTGCTGTGCTGCTGCCAGAGTCGAGGCAACCTGGGAAGTCTGTAGATCAGTGTAACGATTTACAGGTACTATAGTGTGGACTATTTAAAACAGACAGACAAGACACAGAGTTGCCCTTCCCTCATCTACACCACTGACTTCAGCAGAACTATGTGTCCAGGACTATAAGCCTGGCCCAGTGACTGGCAGATACCTGCTGAAGCCTTTGGAAAGTTTTGTAATCCTGAGGCCTGAGGCAGCGGGGGCTCGTACAGCAGAATTGCTGTAGACTGAGGTGTGAGGCAGCGAGCTTCCAGGTACAGCCCAGACCCTCCGCTCTCCAGGTCCGCAGCTCCTGCAAAGTCATCACTTTCTTAAGTGAAGGAGGATGGAGCAAAAAGATGATGTAGGGAGTTCGTAGGGGTGGTTCTTGCTGACTCAGCGCCCTCATAATCTCCCTGCTATGAATGTCATGCAGACTCAAATCCATTTTGAATTCTAGGCAGGGAGATGTGTAATTATTCCACCCTCATTGGGGGCACTGTTATCTTATTTTCTTTAAACTTCAGATTCACATTTGAGAGCAAATTGCCCTCTCCACCCTCCATTCTCACCTCTTCTGTCTCCTCATAGGCCACCACCCTTCATCAGAACCAATGTCTACCTGCAAAACCCATGACTGGTGGACAGGAATTCAGGGAAAATGAGAGAGCTTTCTCCCCAGGAACCAAATCACAGCAATTCATATGCCACTGCTTGGCCAGACTGGTCAAGATTCTAATTTCAGTTTATAGGCTGGTTTCTAAACAAAGGCAAAGGGAGCAGTAAAATGGGCTCCACGGGCTCCACTAAATGCAATGAGCCCTGTTTTAAATGAAGCCTCATATATTGTATAGACATATATTGCACACATAGCAGCATTATCCATTCCACCTTTGGGCAAGCTGAAACCTACTGAGGACAAAGGGAGTAGAGTGGACAGTGGTGGGCAGAGACATTCACCTGGCTGTTGTTATTTGTAAGTCTACACATAAATGTGGCGACAGGAAGCTTTCTTTTCAATAATGTTTAAGTTCTTAGTGCCTCCTGGGCCAGAAAGCTCTATTATTATTTTTTAATGAATGCATGAACTTGAGTAGAGATAATCTTATTGGCCCACAAGACAGCCTTGAGTCTGTAAGCAGAACTGTGTTTCACACACATCTAGGACAATCAGGCTGCATCCAGGCCCCCAACTTCTGACCGAGTAGTCACCACAGGCCCACCGTGGTCACCAAGGGACACACAACTGCAGATGCCAAGGTGTCACCCTTTATCCTTCCATCATCCCCATGGAAAAGGAACAACCAGTGTCCTCTCTGCTGGGACTCGATGAGACCTGGGGATGTTCGGGA